GAGTTTAATTTTTTCCATATTCAATTTATTATAGAATTCCCCAAAAAGAATTCAGTAAATTCGGCCCATTTTTTGAGCCAATCAGAAATCATTTTCATCACTAAAAGATCTCCAAGTTTTTTCGCATCATGTTCCCAGATGGCAATCCCTCAGTTGAATTCTTAGGTTTGATGGTTAAGTTCCATGTTGCTAGAATCAGAAAGAACCACTTTCCATGGCACGGTCTATCATCATTTTTCCCCACCCCAGATAAGGGGGAGGAAATGGCTAGATTCGGCTAGATACAGAGCTAAGATTAGCCCTTGAAAGTTGCAATCATGCACCTAAAATTGCAAAAACAGCTGGGAGCACCTCTGTAAAACCATTCACGCGGGTAAAAACCCGCAATACAAAATGCATATGGGTGGGGTGGGCTGGGGTGGGGTAATAACGTTCATGTTAACTTGCACACCGACGTCATGCTACGGTAGGGTGATCTTCTCTCGCGCTTGCACACACACGTCATGCTACGCTATGGTGGGGTGGGGTGGTGGGGTAATAACGTTCATGTTAACTTGCACACCGACGTCATGCTACGCTAGGGTGATCTTCTCTTGCGCTTGCACACACACGTCATGCTACGCTATGGTGGGGTGGGGTGGGGTGGGGTAATAACGTTCATGTTAACTTGCATGCTACCGACGTCATGCTACGGTAGTTCATCTTGTGATCTTCTCTTGCGCTTGCACACACACGTCATGCTACGCTATGGTGGGGTGGGGTGGATGGTATCGTTCATGTTAACTTGCACACCGACGTCATGCTACGGTAGGGTGATCTTCTCTTGCGCTTGCACACACACGTCATGCTACGCTATGGTGGGGTGGGGTGGAGAACACGTATCTCGTCCCAGCGAAGTTGCCAGCTCCATGGTGGCTACGTGCGGTGCACGCATGTAGGTTTGGCCGCAGTAGTTTTCTATTGCTCGCAATAGATCACAGCAGTTGGAACGAAGCCCCCGAAAGACACCATAGGAGACTACATTGTTCTTTGTGCGGCATTCGCGCCTGCTACATTGAACATAGACACTAAGTACATCAGAAGCTGCATTCTCAGCTGGAGGTCCCAAGTAATTCCATCCGCAAGCCAAACATCGAACTGGCTCATGCAGAAAACCGGCATCCTTCAACTTCTGGTACGCCAACATCGGGTCACCTATGTTCTTCTGCAAACTCTTCTGAAACTGAGACCATCCTGCACGGCAGTCTTGCTGACGCTTCTTCAAGAAAGTCTTTCTAACATTTTGCTTGGTGTAAGCTTTCCTCGCTTTCTCTTTCGACCAACCTTTCTTTCGGCTTTGCCGTCCAGGATTGTTCCTGGAACCAGGCTTGTGTCTGGTTTTCTCCACTTTTGCTCTCAGTCTGCTGATCTCAAAAGCCGCTTTCGAGCTGCAGCTTTCCAAGCGATGCCCCGCTTTGCCGCAAGCAAGACATTTGCGCGTCATGCAAGAGGTTGAAACTTTGATGCTCTTGTATATGACAACTTCACTTCTTCAAAGCTTGTCACTTCTGTAAACATAGATTGATAATTTTGCGGTGCCTGATTTTCACTTTTCTGCACATGAAGTTTGATTTGTTGAAAGATGAAATTTGTCTGCATGATGACGCAAGCTGAAATTATATGGGAAAACGCAGGAAAATTAACATGCAAATGGCTGCGGAACATGAATCATAAAATCCAAGCAACAAGAAAAAAAACTGGAGTCCGCTAAAATGAAAATGTACCCTACTTGGCTATTTCGTTAGGATTGCCATGATCCCCAGCAAGTGCTATTCATGGCTATTCCACACCCCAAGTCCGAACCGAAACTGGTGGTGTTAGATTCCCCAGCTACGGGACCAAGCCAATGCACAGTGAGATGGCCCTCCAAGTAGGTCCACTGATCCTTTTTCGGAGCTCATGGAGCTTTTCTTTAAAAGACTCTAGCAGCAACTACCCTCTGGTGACTAGTTTGCGACATTGAAAATGGCCATGGAAATTGTTATTTACTGTAATATAACTCTTGAAAATGGCCATGGAAATAGTTGATTTACCCAGCTATAAAATGGTGATTTTCCATAGTTTTTTGTATGTTTACCAGAGGGTACCACTTGGATCCTGACACGAACCTGCGACATGTTGCAATGTGTTCCATTCTTCCTGGAAACCCAACCACGTGGTCGGGGATGACACTACGAGAAAGTCACACAATAAACAAAAAACAGCCTTCGCGCTGTGCGAATCGCACGCTTGGGAAGACCATCTTGGTGCATGACACCGAAAATTTGCTCTACATTGGTGCGTGCACGAATTTCACTCGGTCTCATTTGGGTGAATGATTCTCCCCATCTCGGCACGTGCGCTCTCCAAAGCAACCGACCTTCAGGGTTGAACGACGCGCCGTACTCACACTCACCTTGGACTTGGGTCTGCATCAACTCATCATTAAGGCATCCGCACTGTTTGCAGAAGTGGATGCCTCCACCAGGTGCCCTCTTGTAGGTCGAGTCAAATTCAAAGGTCCACTCGTGCTTCCCACGGCACGTATCATCCATGAACGACTCGACAAATTTCACATGAGGGTTCACCAGGTTTGAAGGAAGGGCGGTTGTCACGATCGAAACAGAGCTCCTCGTCTCGACTAACTTCACATCCGAGTGCACGCTGTTCATTGCAAAAGCGGTTGATAGATCGATCGAGGGGCGGAAACTGCTTCGGTCAGAACTCCTCGAGCAAAAAAGCTACGATGGGAAAGATACACATGTTTTCACCGATGATCGAAGGCCGCTGGCTCAACACATGAATGAAACCGAGATTCATCCTTCAAAACGTTAACTTCTTGAAGATTCCCAAGCTGATAGGTTCATCGCTTAAGATGGTTTACTTTGAAGGTCGTCCGTCTTCTTGAAGATTCCCCTGCTGATAGGTTCATCGCTTAAGATGGTTTACTTTGAAGGCCGTCCGTCTTCTTGAAGATTCCCCAGCTGATAGGTTCATCGCTTAAGATGGTTTACTTTGAAGGCCGTCCGTCTTCCTGTACATGATCCCCCAGCTCTGCAGCAGCTTCAAAGTGACCCTGCTTCCCCAAACGAAGCTGTGCAACCTCGTGCTCCAGTCTTTGGGCATTTGCAGCGGGGGGAAAATCCAGCAGACGCATGGAGCAGCATTCCTGCTTGCAAGTTGGGACATGGATGCTGGCAAGCTTCGCTTTGACAGTGTTGGTCAAGCTGACAAAATCGTGGTCCTTCTCCAGTGCTCCACTTGAAGATTCCCCTGCTGATAGGTTCATCGCTTAAGATGGTTTACTTTGAAGGCCGTCCGTCTTCTTGAAGATTCCCCCGCTGATAGGTTTTTCATCAATCAATCAATCAATCAATCAATCAATCAGTCCGAAAAGGGTTTCGGCATCCAAAACGTTTTGACCATATGTATGTGTATATATATATGTAGACATATATGTGTACATATACACACATATGCCGAAACTTCTTGGTTGCTTATTAGGGTGCTCCATGTTTGTGATACCTATGTTCTTGTTGGTGATCTTACCATCCCCAAATGATAGGTTTATTGGGAGTACCAAATTAGAACTTTGAGACGGTCTCCCTATGGTCATCTGGCCTCAGAAGATAAAAATAGCATAATCCCCAATTACTTCAGAGTTTATTTTTTTTCCACATTCAATTTACTATAGAATTTCCCAAAAAGAATTCAGTAAATTCGGCCCATTTTTTGAGCCAATCAGAAATCATTTTCATCACTAAAAGATCTCCAAGTTTTTTCGCATCATGTTCCCAGATGGCAATCCCTCAGTTGAATTCTTAGGTTTGATGGTGAAGTTCCATGTTGCTAGAATCAGAAAGAATCATTTTCCATGGCACGGTCTTTCATCGTTTTCCCCTGAATGGGCTCCCAACACCCCAGATAAGGGCGAGGAAATGGCTAGATTCGGCTAGATACAGAGCTAAGATTAGCCCTTGAAAGTTGCAATCATGCACCTAAAACTGCAAAAACAGTTGGGAGCACCTCTGTAAAATGGTTTTCTGTTGTGGCTATCCAGCCCATATTTAGACCACGACGCACCTGATGCATCTTGTCGGGCGAAATGGAAGTCCGCCACGATCTGGGGTCAGGGGGTGCTCCGAGAGTCTGAGGGTGGTGGTTGGGCCAATGGGCCAATAGCCGGAGACTTCAACATGTTCAACTGGAAAAGGTCAAATCTTGGCTTTCACTCAACAAGAAATGACAGGCTGATGTCTTTTCCCCACAAAAATGAGTGATTACCAACAAGAATCCGGACAAGCAAGAAACACGCACGGTGAAGCTTAGATCTCCCAACAAGATTGATGGATGTTTCTCGTACTATATTCCGCTATGGCAAACCCAGGTTTTCCCAAAAGAATCCCACGGGATCACGGATAGACTGGTCCTGGCTGTTTCGTTCGACGGCATCCCCATTGGGGCGAAACGAACGATATGGAAAATCCACTATTTGTAAACGATTTTAATGGGGAAACCATGGGTTTTCCACATCTGCATGTATACCCTAGGATGTATCTTTTGGTACCCAAGGACTTGACCCATCAGATTCTAACGACCTCACAAGGTCTGACCTCGCCATCAAATCATGAAAAAAATAAGGCTTTTTTATAGTATCCCTTAAAAACATGATATTTTTTGAAGTGTGATTTGTATCCTACGGGGGAATATGTTCCCAGGCCTTCTGCCCCGAAGGCGATGAAGCCATGGTGGCCGCTTGCGGCGGCTGTGGCTCGGGTGGCTCCCGTTTTTCAGACAGTTGGATGTTTTATAAAATCTTTCAAGAATGTGAAGATGTGTCTGACTTAAGCTTAATGATTGAAAAATCCAAGCATAGTCCTATTCAAAAATATGTCGATAAACAACTGGATCGTTTTCAGAAAGGTCCAAGTTCAGATGGAAAATGTCCCAACTGCAACCTCCTGCTTTATTGTTAGAGCTCCATTTGATTTGTCCAGTGAGGTTTGTCATTAGGTGAGGTTTCACTCCCCAATTTCATGCTGGGAATGCTACTTCAAGGCTGAAAAGCTAATCCTCCCGATAGGCTGGTTCTATCCGCATGATCTCTCCATCGGGCCAAAAGCTGCGTGGGTGTGCCTGTAAGAGCGAGGAAGCGAGTTCTTCCAATCATCATGGACATAAAAGATGATAAGCAAACCCCAAAGTTAGATAGATAGAAGTCGATGAGGAATAAACATGACAATAGTGGTAAATTACCTAAACCTATTCTTTTTCGGGGTGATTTTGTATCGATTCGGAAAGATTGCTTTGCTCTAGTGCGGCTGACAGATGGGTGCGGTTGACTGGTCCGTGGCAACCATCCAGGGCGTAGCTTTGGGGTACACCTATTTTTATACACCAAATATCATGGTTTCAACAAGATGAGCAAAATCTCTCAGTAGCCAACTCAAAATGGCTTTAAGTCTTACCACCGCGATGGTTTTCCAGATGGGAATCGCCCAGGGTAAAATCAGAAACCTCACCCTGATTTCTGGTGACCTCGGGCCAGTGACACTTTTTTTAATTGACTTAGACTCCTCATGAATAAATATACCATTAGGCTTACGAGTGGGTTTACCATTTAGTGTACCATTGGAGGAGGTGTGTGCATACACATTTATACAATATATACAATATATACAATATATACAATATATACAATAGATACAATATATACAATATATACAATATATACAATATAAACAGTATAAACAGTATATACAATATAAACAATATATACAATATATATATATACAATATACACAAAATATACAAAATATACAATATATACAAAATATACAATATATACAAAATATACAATATATACAATATAAACAGTATAAACAGTATATACAATATAAACAATATATACAATATATATATACAATATACACAAAATATACAAAATATACAATATATACAAAATATACAATATATACAAAATATACAATATATACAAAATATACAATAAATACAATATATACAATATATACAATATATACAATATATACAATATATACAATATATAAAATATATATACAATATATACAATATATACAATATATACAATATATACAATATATACAACAATATACAAAATATACAAAATATACAATATATACAAAATATACAATATATACAATATATACAATATATACAATATATACAATATATACAATATATAAAATATATACAATATATACAATATATACAATATATACAATATATACAATATATACAATATATACAATATATACAATATATACAATATATACAATATATACAATATATACAATATATACAATATATACAATATATACAATATATACATATATACATATATACATATATACATTTATGCATACATACATATACATATATATATATATCCATGTATATATATATAGGAATTTCCCTAAATGTTGG